AAAAAAAATAAAATAAAATAAAAAAATTGATGTGTAGCAAAGTGTCCCATACTCGGAATTTGTGCTCTGCATTTAACCCATCCAAGTGCACACACACACCCACACCCGGAGCAGTGGGCAGCCATTTTTGCTGCGGCGCCCGTGGAGCAGTTGGGGGTTCGGTGCCTTGCTCAAGGGTCTCACCCTTGCTCTCTGGTCATTAACTTCCCCCACCTACTATCCCTGCTGGTACCGAGACTTGAACCTGCAACCTTTGGGTTGCACGTCCGACTGTCTAACCATTAGTAAAATTATAACCAAAATAAAAACCATTAACCAAAATAAATTTGCATACCTTTATATTGAATTTTTATGAATACATTTATATTTTACTTCAAAGCACTCTAGGCAGATATTTGACTACTGAAATATCTAAATCACCTGCTGTTTTGCTTCTCTCAGGATGACACATATACAGAAAGCTACATTAGCACTATCGGTGTGGACTTTAAAATAAGAACTATAGAATTAGATGGAAAGACCATCAAACTTCAAATCGTAAGTTCCTTTCTATCCTGTAATGAATGATTGTTTGTGAATAAGGTGACATGAATGGAATATACAAACGTGATTAAAGAAAAGTGAACACTTGATGTTTAGGTATCGTATTAATTGTTTAGGGACATTATCAGAGAGAGCAGGGTTATGTCACTGCTCTTATCGTGAATTTTCCTTGATCTTTTGATGTAAATTATATCAGAGAAAGACCTTTGTCTGCTAACTATTGAATAGGGCTGGGTTAACAGTATTGAGTACTTAATTAATTTTAATTTTGATGAACTGATATGAATTCTTACATCAAAATATGTGAACATAACTTCAGTAAACATTATTTTATGGCACTCCTTCCATCAAATAATCACAATAAGTTGTGTTACTTTTGATAAGAAACAAAGTCTCAGATTTCAAATTCTGTCAGTTTTGTCACAAAAGTGTTGTTAATTTTAACCTTTAATGTACTAACTAGGGGTTCCCTGTATAGTTTACAGCATCAGTTAAAGGGGTCCTATTATGCTCTTTTGCAAATCTTGATTTTGTTTTGGGGGTGTACTAGAACAGGCTCTCATATGGCGCTTTTCCACTGCGTGGTACGGCACGGTACGGTTCACTTTTGGGGGGTTTTCCACTGGGTACAGTACCTGGTACTTTTTTTTAGTACCACCTCGGTTGAGGTTCCAAGTGAACCGTACCGTTACCAAAACGTGACGTGTAAACTCTGCTGATCACGGATTGGCCGGAGAGAATCGTCATTCCCTGCGTCACTGAACTTGCAACACAAACACAACAGAACCGCTAGATTTAAATCAGCACAGCCAGCGAAGGATCAAACGCAACGGTTTTGAACGAGCGCACCTTTTTTATTTTTTTTACAACCAAAAAGTTTTGTTGTCTGTTGCGGAAGAACAGACGTTCCTCTCGTTGATAGTAGAGGAGCGGATCCAGCGAGAGCTTGATGGGGCGATGCGAAATAAAAAAGTTTTTCAGGAGTCGTGGTATATATATATATATACACACACACAGTGGGTACAGAAAGTATTCAGACCCCCTTAAATTTTTCACTCTTTGTTATATTGCAGCCATTTGCTAAAATCATTTAAGTTAATTTATTTTCCTCATTAATGTACACACAGCACCCCATATTGACAGAAAAACACAGAATTGTTGACATTTTTGCAGATTTATTAAAAAAGAAAAACTGAAATATCACATGGTGTGACACTCATATATTTAACTTTTTTTATATTGTTACTTTCATGATGTGAAAACACCTAAAAGGATGTCTCAGTGAAGACAGTGAACAGACCAGACGTTCACCTTCTCAGAGTCCTAATAATTCTCAAAAACGGCTTCTGTGGAGAAAGAGTGAGAATCTACTTGATGATGCTGCATTTTTAATAATCAAAAGAGGCTACAGTCAAGGTGACAACTGGAAGTTACATGTGAATAGTGAACTTTATATCATAGTGTTTACAATTCATTTCACAAGCTCTAACCATGTGATGACACTAGAGGGCACTATACATAATAGGAGATAATTTACCTGATGCTTCCTCAGATCTAGGGTCAGTGAGGCAGTCCATGGCTGACAGAATAGAGGTGAAAAGATACTCTGAATGAGTTTTCAGTGTGTGAGACTGCCTCTCTATCAGCATCAGTGTGTCTTTCAGAACTGAGGAATCAGGAAAAAAATATATTAGCAGCAGTATGAGAACAACTACAGACTAATAATGTGTTGACAAAAACCATGCTTGA